TTTTTTTTTTTTTTTTTTGAGACAGGGTCTCACTATGTAGTTGAGACTGACCTGGAACTCACTATGTAGCCCAGGCTGGTCTTGAACTCACAGCGATTCTCCTGCCTCAGCTGGGATTACAGGCATGCGCCACCACGCCTGGCTACCTCTGCCTTTTAATGAAGAGAACTGTCACTGAATAAAACTATGAAGTGCTACCTCCTTAGGATTGTACTGCAACTGGAGGGAAGATATTTGCAGGATGACAGAAACTGGAAAGGACAAGAGGTCAAACAAGCACAATGCAGCCCAGAAATGCCTAGGGACTAACCAAAGGCCGGAGAACCAGTGACTGACACGAACATTCAGAACCATTTGCTGAACTGTTCTGGTCAGGCTTCATGTCACTCAGGAGGGGCCCTCTATCCTCAAAGGATGCTCTGCCAGAGGTACAGATGGTGAGATCCTTAAGAACATAGATCCTGCTTTTTTTTGGCTGCATTTTTATTTTAAAGTAATATTAATACTATAAAGCAATATACTTTACTAGACAAAGACACGAGTAGGAAGGAAAATAAGACTATGTTAATTTATCATCCAGAAAGGAATGGTGGTAACAGGTTTATTATTCCAGAATTCTAAGTATGATATCAAACAGGAGTCATGCTATTTGCTAGAAAGCATCTTTTAAATTACAATAATTTCCTCTTTGTACCATTAAATATCCTTTAAAATGTCTTTAATAAGTTTATTTAATTCCAAATAGACTTAAAATTTTATGATTAAACACATAGATATACAAATTTCTACTACTACAAAATAAACACTGTAAATAAAACTCTCCTTAGAAATTTCAAGCTGGGTGTGGTGGCACAGGCCTGTAGTCCCAGCACTGGGAAGCTGAAGGAGGGTTGCCACAAGTTCGAGGCCAGCTTGGGCTAATGAGTTCAAGGTCAGCCTGAACTACACAGTGAGACCTTGTTTCAAACACATACCCTCCCCACCAATTAAAAATCCCAGAAATTTCTTTTCTCTCTTTAGAATAAGTTCCTAGAAATAGAGGTCAAAGAGAATGAGTATCTTTTAGGCTTCTGATACTGCCAAACTGCCTTCCAGAAAAGTTGTATCAATTGTTATTAATGTTTGTAAGTTTCTCTAACTTCTTGCCAAACTTAAAAACATCATTAAAAATACTGAGGAACACCCCCTCCCCCGCCTGCAACTTCTACTCAGTTTAACTTTTGTTTTTCGGTATTGGGGATCAAACTCAGGACCTTGTACTTGTTGAGTCAGGTGGTGGCACCACTGAGCTAAATCCCCAGACCTACTCAGTTTGATTTTTTTTTCTTCTGGTACCAGGGATCAAACTCAGGCCCTTGTGCTTGCAAGCCAGGCGGTGGAACCACTGAGCCAAATCCCAAGCCTTCTCAGTTTGATTTTTAAAAACATGTCTTATTTTACTATATACTTTAAAAACACTAGCTGATTTCTGTACCTGTTAGCTCCCTGGTCATTTATTTCCTGCTGTGTGTGTGCCACTCAGGCCATGTCTTAATCATCTCCACATCTCTGGGACCTAAAGAGGTGGCTGGTACACAGTAGCCATTCAATACATTATAATCAGGTTTTAAGTAACTACAGAATTTTATACAGTAGAAACCACACTAAGAATTTTTGCGATTTAAAAGAAACATAATACAGACAAAATAATTCAATTGGAGAAATTTTTCCAGATTCAGAACCAAGTCACAGAAGAGTAAAGTTTAATTTTACTTTGAAAGTAAATGCCCTTTTCTCTTTGGGTAATGAAAATGTCCCCAAATCAGCAGGCTGTTTATTTGTCTCCAATTTTACAATAATAAACTAAAAGTGTGTATTACTTGCCATTAATATAGCTAATTTTTATTAAGTGCTTCTCCCTATACAAGACATAACTCTATGAGTTAAGAGATATTACTACTCCCATTTTTACAGGAAAAAGGCTGGGAAGGTTGATGGCCTTAAGTCACATAGCTCCTAAATCATAGTGCTAGAACCTGAATCTGGTCTGATTCCAAAGTTACTATGCTACAAATAGTACTGTTTGTACTATAATACAGCGTTCTACTAAAGTATCTATTTAGATCAAAAGATACTCATCTGTTCATTCTTTATAAAAATAACACACTAATAGTCATTATTTGGGTGCAACTAAAAATGTGCTGAATCACTACAATCTTTTCAATGAACACTAAAAAACAGTTATCTCTGAAAAGACACCATTCGTGGAAGGATAGTCTAGGCTTTTTTGGGAGCACTACCAATAGTAGAGTTAACTCAGAATGTCTAAATTTAAACATTTTAAAATCACAGGTGTAAGAATCCCTCCCACCTAGAGTGGAGAAAACAGTCAATCGGAAGCTGTAACACAGGATGGGTAGAGCTCCTCAAGAGGAAGAGATCTGAGAAAAAGGAAGATAACAAGAAAAGGAGAAGAGAGGAGCACTCTGTGCTTCCCACGCCTAGTAATATTAAAGAGATACTCGGATCAACTTGCATTATTTTTAAAGAAGAGAAAAAAATGGTAGACCAAAATTGATCACAATTAGATTTTTCTCTAAAAATTCAATGTACATATTTTAGTGAATAAAGATACATTTGTTATGTGTACATTTACTTCAAGTACAACAACAGGCGTTTCCAGGTATCTCCTTTCCTCCACAAATTTTGCCAAAGATGGGTCTTACATTACAGCTTCTCAAGTCTTTAAGAAAGTGTGGGAATTAATGTTGTCTAAATATTAGGGAGTGCAGAATAATCATCCATCTAAATGTTTTCTTTCCTTAGTTAAGTGGATTCCAAAACCTTGCAGAGTCAAGTACACAGACACTCAAACTTCTGTACAATAAGGCATTTAAATGTACAACTGTAATACAGATGATCGCCATAAGAAACTGGAAAACCATATGCAACTACACGATTTATTTTTATCATTCTTCAATCCTCCTGGATCTGAGCTCAAGCTCTTAATTCTGATTCCTTACTCCTACCTGGCTTAAACCCACTCACTTCTTTACAAACTCCTTCCCTGTCTGGGTGTTCTTTTTTCATAGTTCCCTCTTGATTCTAGTTCTTAACTGGAATCAGAGCATTCATGCTGAAAATCATCTTGAAGATGTGAGATTAAACCTTCATATGGGTGAGAAAGTGGGCCCAGAGTGATTACTGTCTCATCCAAGGTGCCAAATTAGTGGAAGACAAGGTAGCACGCACTCAGACTTCTGCCTGCATTCCAGGGTATGGGGCAAGCGTCATTCCGTTTCCTGAAAGTAGTCTCTAAATAGTAGATTTACCCTACTACTTAGAGCTGTAAGCAAAACACCAAAGGTGCAACTTATCTTTTGAACTCTCCTTTTCTTGAAACCCAGAGGCAAAGTATCACCTTGGTTTACTCCTCAAAGTCTGTTGCACCAGACACAGCCGGATGACACATACCTCTTGGCACTATCTAAGGCATTTCACGTTTAAGCCCTTATCTTAACCATGATGTATCAGTATCTCTGCATACTTGTCTCCTACCTCAGATGCCTTTCTTTTCTTTTTAATTTTTTTTTTCTCAAATGCCTTTCTATACACTAATTCTTATTCTTCAAGGAAGAGCCTCCTTTTGTGGAGACACAGTTCTAAATGGTTATCATTTGTGTTTTGTTGCTGTTGTTTTTTTGAGATAAGGTTTCGGTATATAATTCAGGCTGGGCTTGAACTCACTATGTAGCCCAGGCTGGCCTTGAACTTGCAGCAATCCTCCCGCCTCAGCCTCCTGAGTGCTGGGATTACAGGTGTGCACCACCACACCTGAATCATTTGTATATTTTCTTTCCACTAGAAGAGAGATCTGTGCTTCACCAAGAAGCAAACTACTGAACCAAACATTATACTTCATCACCACAGAAGAAAGTAAGAGAGCTTTCCTCCTAAAAAGTCTCATACTTCACCTAATCTTAGGCCAGAACTGAGCCTCTATCAATCCAAATGAGTCTTAGCGCCTTAATTTTTTTCTTGGAGTTATTTGAATTAGTTCCAATTTTAATATGATCTAGCAGTAAAACGAAATCAACACTGTATGGAATCTATATCACTACCACTAACAAACACAATGATATAGATTTTATAATAATTGCTATTTATGACAAAGACTTCCCCTTACCTGGCTAAGGATTTTCATTCCTGAGTGCAAAAGCTTCTTCGCAGCTTTATAATAAATGGTCTCTGGTTTGTTGTAAATCATGGCATTGGTACACATTAGTTTGAAGTTATCCTACAGAGAAAATATCAGAGAAAAAATAATAAAAAAAACAAACTCCTCAGCCCCTATATCTGCAGCCACAGAGGCTCTCTAAAAATTTAAAAACCATCATCCTTTTCTAAGCATCACTAAGCAATTTTCTAAGTTTTAAGACTCATCAACAAAACAAATACTGCTGAATTTGTTTCCTAACCCTTATGTATTTTATTTTACCTCTGTATAAACTTTTAGATCTAGAATAAAAATTCACAATGGAGTTCTCTAGTATAATCTTATGACACATGTGAAGAATTTAAATACTTCTACCTCATATTTAATAATCTTGGCTGAGTAGTTCATATAGTTTAAAAATATTTCTCAGTTTTAAAACAAATATTTTAAGTTTCCACTTAGGAATTAAATATACTAAACCGTGACTGAAAATTGGGATGTTAAATTATCATAGTATTTCCCACCAAACTCAAATTAATGAGCAAAAATACTGAAACATTTACTTTAAAGTGTTTGAACAATTTTAAATTAAGCATAATTTGCAAAATATTGTAAAATCATGCCAATGTAAAATAAACCATACAACTTTCAAGGAGTTAAAACTTGTAACTGGAGTACACAAATTATCAGAACTATATTTTTGGCTTAAAGTTTGCATATGTACTGAAGCACTTGATCCCACTCCATTTTTTCCATGATTAAGACACTTTACATCCAGAAAGGTGAGAGTGATTATGTGAAGGCCTTACTAACTCAAAATGTTAAGAACAATAACCACCAAAATTTGTTCCCACATACCCCTCCAAATTCAACTAAAAACATTCAAATTGCACCATGTAACAGTTAGTGATGACAGCTTAGAATACTTAAATAAGAGTGAAAATAGGCAGACTGAGGCAGGAAGATCATGAATTCAAAGCCAGTGCTGATAGTATAGCAAGACCCTGTTTAAAAAAACAAAACAAAACAAACCTTAAGTATATGAGAAAATTGAATCAAGACTCATGATAAATTAAAAGTGGGTAAAGTATACGTAGATTCTCAGTTCTGGCCAAATCTCTACTCAAGATTATGCTAGGTATCAGACTTCAAAACATCTGATTAAGGCTATGGAGTTACTCTTTGAGTACATAATACACAGAGGTGAACACAAAAATCTTTATGTACTTTTAGCAGGTTCCTGGCACTTTCTCTCCCCAAAGGATCATCCATGGGTATTCAGAGGACTGATCCTAGAATAAGAAAATTTTGCTATACAAATTCTGAAAAGTTTCCATTCCATTGAGAATTATTAAATATATATTTGAGGAAGCAAGTGAGAGGAGACATTAAATGACCATTGATCCATACTAGACAGACATTCGGTTATAAGTAGTAAAAATGCTGGGTCTTTGTAATGATAAAAAAATCTGATGTTAACATTTTTGTGGTACTGGAGACTAAACCCAGGGCTTTGCACATACTAGGTAAGCACCCCATCAGTGAGCCACATTCCAGCCCTGTTATATTTTATGGAGATGGGGACTAACTCGGCCTCACTGAGCTGTATCCCCGACCAAGGCAACAATAAGATTCCTTCTACCTTAACTGTAATGTGCTAAGCTTTATTTGACTTGGTGTAATGGCACCTTGATCAGTCAGAAAGCTGAATCTGCACACTTTTCCTAGTGTGGAAAACTCCAGAGTTAGAAGTACTAATTCAATTCAATTACGAGAAACCTTAACCACCTTAAAAATACTCAGGGGACACACTTACACTCTCGTTACCATAGGACAAAGATCAGAGAGAAACTGTTCACAAATAGGAAAAAAAACACCAAGCTGTGAAATTCTTTTCTACCACGCAACAATTATGTCTGAAATATGCTGAAATAAACAGTTTTAGCCTAATTTTCACCAGATAGATTGAGAAAAGTTTGCATTTCTCTAAGAGAAAATTAATTAAGGTTTTCCTAAGTGGAATATTAAGTGGAATATTCCCTATATGCTCAAAGAGAATTAGATGATGGTGTTCATCCTAAGTTTTAGCTGATCTGGATGTGAAGGATAAAAAGAGATCAAGGAAAGAATGTTTACTATTATCTTTTCCTTCTGTAACTGTCTAATCAGTTATCTGATCTAAGAGTCAGGTAAGCACTACAGGTTTACATGGAACAAATAAAGGTAAAATAAATATTTTTAAAATCAGTCATATTTGTGGTGGTTTAATTCAAAGGTAGTGATACATATGCTTGTTTGTTTTTTGTTTTTTTTTTTGGTGGTAGTGGGGATTGAACCCAAGGCTTTCACACTGAGTTATACTGCCAGACTACATTTTATTTTACTTTATTTTTTGTTTTTTTGAGACAGGATCTCACTGTGTAGTTGAGACTGACTTGGAACTCACTATGTAGCCCAGGCTGGTCTCAAACTCACAGCAATCCTCCTTCCTCAGCCTCCCAAGTGCTGGGATTACAGGGGTGCACCACCATGCCCGGCTCCAGACCACATTTTATTTTGAGACAAGTTCTTGCTAAATTGCCCACACTGGGCTTGAACTGGCAAGCTTCCTGACTCAACCTCTTAAGAGTGCTAAGATCACATGAATATGCCACAATGCCTGGCAATTTCCTTTCTTTAAATTTTTTTTCTTCTTTTTAAAAATTTTAGACAAAGTCTCACTATTTAGTTCAAGCTGGCCTTGGACTCCCAATGATCTTTTTGTTTCAGCCTCCTGAGTGCTGGGACTACAGGCATGAACCACCATTCTTTGTAAGATTAAAACAAATTGTACCCCCAAAACCAACATGTACCAAGACTATTTAAAGATGGGAAAAACCTCAACTAGGAGACTAGGCATGCATATTATTTTGGTGGCGTTTATCTTTTTACACATTTTTTTATTCTTAAAATTAAAGAAATACGTTCAATAAACATAGCTAATGCAAACTCAGAGCAAAAGACTTTCACCAGCTAGAACATTTAATTGAACTTTTCTTTTTTCTTTTTTGTAGTGGTAGAAATTGAAACTTGAACTAAGGGCTTCTGCATGTTATGCAAGTACTTTAACATTAAGTTGTATCACTAGCCCTACATTTTTCTATTTCAGGACAAGCCAATTTATTCTCTTATTTTAGAAAATGTGCATACTTTATATGTCGAGAAATAGAGAAATGAATTTTCATTAACATGTCAATTTTATGCCAGGTGTGGTGGTACATTCCTATAATCTTAGCACTTTGGGAGGATGAGGCAGGAAGGTTCAAGTTTGAGCCCCAATCTGGCCAGTGTAGTCAGAATCTGTCTCAATTTACAAAACAAAAACAAAAAAACCTTCAATTTTAACTTGTATTAGTTCAAGTTAAAAATCTAATGTCTTTTCATTTTAAAGGTTGGAAAAAATACATTGTAGAAAATATATGAAACTCAAATTTTTAAGAAGAAAGATAGTAAATACAAGAAGGCTTATTTCATCTGAGTTTCACCACTGAGGTCATAAAAGTCTTCCAAAGAAGAAAAATAAACATTTTGGCTATTTAAAGAAAACGAATTCTTTGCAAAATAGAAAGGCCAATGAGAACTACTGTGAATACCAGATATATAATAAGAGTTTGTGGATACAGGATCCAAGAGTTTGACTGTTCATTTAATAAAGATGTAGGTTACTTGGTATCGTAGCTGAGCCCAATCACAACATAAATAACAATTACAGTTACCTTTAATTCTTCTATGGACTGGTAGTCATTGTTCTTGATCTTTTCTTTCATGGTACTAAAATCCATTGGGTGTTTAATGATCATGGAATAGCCGGGAGCAATAAAATCAGTCACAGGAAATGAAAAGAAAGCACTTGGGTCTTTTCTGTGAAGATATGCAAAAGGCAAAGTTACATTTTATTTCTACTACAAAGAAATCTACTGGTTTAACAGAAATCAGAAGAAAACCTTCAGACGTAGAAAGAATTTGTAGTATGTTAACATGCTTTTCACTGAAAACAGCAAACATTATTTTCAAAACTAATAACTATTTAGTAACAAGGTTAAGATATGTCAGACTAGTTGCACCCTTAACAGAGACTTTAATTAAAAATGCAGCCTAATTATCAGATCTTTAACAAAGGGGAAAAAATGATGCAAAATAAACTAAACTAGTTGACCAATGTTTTACCTTTTGAGAGATTAGTATTGTGTGTGTATGTGTGTGTATGTTTTTTATCAATTATCAGGGAAAAGGCAGAATAACTATGAATGCACATTTGCAATCCTGTATTATTTTTGTAATTAATGGGCTTCCACTCGATCAATCAATGGATATAAATTCTATCATGTGTACATGGGGATGCTCAAACACTGACATTAAAAGAGGCCCTCTTAATACTTTCAAATTAAACAAAACAGCCATTGTAAGACCATTCTTACATTACCAAAAAATAAAACTAAGAGCCAATGAAAACATTTTGTAGTTATACCTTGTAGCTGAGATTGAATAAATACTCAGTATTTACTTGTTCATTCCTCTGGGACAATGAATGAATGAGATATCATTTTTCTCAACTACTCTGAACACCATACAAGAAGAGGCCAGCAACTTCTGCTCTTAAGTGCAAAGCTGAACATGTGTTGGAGAGTACAGACTGCTCTAGAGATTTTACCTTAAAAAATATTTAGGATGTTTCATATTAAGATATAAATACAACACAATGAGGGGCAAGCTCATTATTAGAATGCATGCCCTTGATTATTAATCTTCTGAAAATAATAAAAGTATTTTTGAGTCAAATATTGAGTAAAGAGAGGTATCAAAATCAATACTTTATTAAAGACCGATGTACTCTTTTTCTCTTTTAAGAGCTAAACACAGGGTTAATCCACACAATGAAATTTCTTTAAACCTCTTTCTCCCTCCTCACTCTGGGGATTGAACCCAGTGTCTTGTACACACAAGGCAAATGCTCTACCACTGAGCTACATCCTAGCCTACACTGAAAATTTTAAAATTAATTCCTTCCTGCACTTAAAAGACAGGCACTGTATTTATGGGTTTTTTCCTAGACTTAATAACTGGTTAATACTCTCAGTATGGGCACTGTACAAATATACAAGATGGCACTTCCTTCTTTCAGCAAAGTGGCAATGTCTGTACTGTTATTCCTCAGTTTAGAGTTTTAACATCAGAAATCACTTTAGAAAAAGAAATTTGCCATTAAGAGTATTATGTAACAGCCTTCAAACTGCCAGTTAAAACAAACCAAGTAAGAACATCTAAGAGTCAACCTCTTAAGAGCACTTCTACCGCCAGCCAAAATATTTACCATTCACTTTAAAATCAAGTGCATTTGGATTTAGGTTACAAAATATGGTTTTAGATCATCAAAATTGGAGAAGCAGTTTGGATCTTTATGGTTATGATTTCAATTTCTATCTTAACAAAAAGTTTGGAAAAATATTTACCTCTGCAACTGTCTCATCAGTTGATTTAAAGCTTCTTGAAGGGGTGTCTGTTCTACTTCTAAAGCAAAGAAGAGACGAAAACAGGGTTTAAAAAAGAACTATTCTAGAGAGTACTATTTGGTTTTCATTTTATATGACTTATATCCATTACTGAATATCTCATATAGAAATTCCATTCATTTAAAAAATATGTTGAAGACAGAATATCAATTCAAAACTGAAGCTAATTTAAAAACTCTTATGGAGTAAGACAGGAAAAAGTTAGGAAACATAATCCCCTACAAATCTTTTAAATTAACTTAGAAGCTAAAGTCTAGTCATTTTCCTAAATGTAACACCTGCAGTATCTTCATTCAAGATAGACAATTCAGTTATTCCAACCTTCTTGTTTGGCTAAAGAGCTTGTGAGAGGCTTCTCAGGAGGCAAGTCTAATCTTACAGGGGCATGAAAGTCTTTTTCTGCCTCATTCTCCACACGATCTCGATCTCGCTTTCTTTTATCCTCCTAAATGAAACAAAGAGAGATAACTTAGAAATGTTTAAGAATCAGTATATCTAAATACATGGATCAAAAAAAATAAATACATGGATCATTTTAATTTCAATGGAAAAAATACCACAGAAAGAAATCTTAATAAAGAAATCCTAATGTATTTTACTGCCATCTATTGGAAAAGGAGAGAATAGCATATTCATAAAGAAAAGTACTTCTCTATGCCAGAAATAACCAATTAGAAAAATACTATTCACAAAAGCAGTATAGCTTACCTAGGAATAAATACATTAAAAGATGCTCATGATCTTTTATAAAAAATTATGAAACATTTTTGACGGCCACAGTAGACCTGAATAAAGGAGATAGACCATGTTCATGAATTCAAAGAATTCTCTCTAAAGCAATCAATTAATTCAGTATAATACCAATTTAAATTGTAAAACAAGATTTTTCATGAAATTTGACAAGCCAACTGTACAGTTTATTTTGAAGAGTGAATGACTAAGAACAAAACAATTCTCAGAAAGATCACAATAAGATAATGTGACTTATCAGCTAATAAGTCACATTCATGTCAAATAACTAAGACAAAGTGGGTTGGACACAGGGATAGACATATAGACCAAAAGAACCAATAAGAGAGCCCAGAAACAGACTCATGTACATAGAAAAATCTTGGCATATCATAGAGGTGGCATCATAAATCAATGAAAAAGGGTAGTGCTGAGACAAATATTTGTGTGAAAAGGAAAAAACAAATTAGATTTCTACCTCATGAGATATTCAAAAGTAAATTCCAGGTAGACAAGTGTACAAAGCTTTAGAAGTTCAAATAAAAAGAAAAGACTCTTTGAGACTCAAGCATAGGGATTTTCTTAAGACACAAAAAGAATAAATATTAAAGGAAAATTTGACAAATTTGACATTAAATTTACAAATTCTACTGCCTTGACGAAACCCACAAACCAAACTAAAAATCTAGCAATAGATTAAGATAAAGTACTAGAAAAACACTCATAAAATCATTAACAAAGATTACATACAGGGCCCATGGAAAAAGCCAAGGAACACAAAAGAAAATGAGTAAAGAATACCACAGGTAATTCACAGAAGATACCTGAACTGTCAAACATAAAAGGTAGCTCAAGTTCAAGAGAATTTAGAGAACTGTAAATTTAAAAAGTAGAAGACATTCCATATCTTTCTGGTTGGCAAAAATCAAAGTGCTTGAAAATGTCAAGTTTTAATAAGAACATAGAGCAACAAGACTCTCATGCCTTGCAGATGGGGGAATAAATAGTGCCAGTCATTAGGAAAGCGATTAGCACTATCTACCAAAGCTTGCAAGACACACTACTTCTCAGCTATTCCTCTCCAGGCATGTACTTTTAGAGCAGTAGTGGTGAACCTATGGCATGTGAGCCTCAGCTGGCTGTTATCACTGAAAGCCCTAAAAGGTTTGCCATCACTGCTTCTAGAGAACTATCCTTTCACCACACAATACACATGGGAACAGGTACTAGAATATTATGGTACTGTTTTAAGTATTTAAAAAAATCAGGAGCAATTCACTGCCCCAATAAAGGAAAAGTGTTCAATAAACTATGGAATATTTACATGGCTGACAAAAATTAACTAGAATTTCATTCTGAATATGCTGAAAATGTGAGTATGTTGAATATCAGCATGGATAACTCAGAAACAATGTCTAGAAAATAAGGTACAGAATCATCTTAAAAGATCAATTGCAGGAGGATCACTGTGAGTTTGAGACCAGCCTGGGCTACATAGTGAGTTCCAGGTTGGTCTCAATTACATAGTGAGACCCTGTCTCAAAAAACAAAAAACAAAAAAAACAACCAAACAAACAAAAACATCAATTGTTTAAAGCTTGAAGATGTATAATCACATATTCTTTACAGATGTATGCAGAACTAGTACGTACATTTATTTATTTTTGGTGCTGGGGATTGAACTCAGGACCTCACGTTCACCAGGTAGGTGCTGTGCTGCTGAGCTACATCTCAGGTCTAGAACTAGTAAGTATAAAAAAAGGTATGTATGTGACATACACTGAATTCAGGACAGTGGTTCTGTCTAGGGAAAGAGAATGGGATTCTGGAAGAGTACACAGGGTGCTCCACCCGTTTGTTCCCTCATTTCTTTAAAAATAAACAAACTGATGATATAATGTTGAGATCTGCTAAAGCTGAATGGTGGGTACCCCTGTGGCAGTTTTATTATTTTCTGTATTTTGATTGTTCTGGTTCTTGATATGGGTTTTACCACGTTGCTCAGGATAGTCTTGAACTTGTACACTCCAGTAATCCTTCTGCCTCAGCCTCCTGTGTTGCTGGGACTAGCTCTCAGGCCCATTTGTTGTACTTTGCATTTTTTAAAATTAAAATTTGAAGTAAACAGTCCAAAATGCCCATTTTATGCACATGAGAATTATGATTAATAGCATCTTATTTACCAAAAAAAGAAAAAAATCCTCTTTTCTTGGCTTACATCCTATTTTCAATTTAGGAATTTGTAAGAAATGCAAATTCTGAAGTCCCAATCCTGTTCTCAAGCTTCCATGTGCATCAGAATCATCTGCAGGTTTTGCTGAACACAGACGGTGAGGCCCAGTCCCCAGAAGAACTAACCCAGCAGGTCTGGGTAGTTGGAGAAGGTACATTTCTAACAGATTTCCAGGCCCTGTGAGAGTTGCTGGGACAGGGATCATAAAGAATCACTAAGATAGAGCTTTAAAGTGTATTTTCAGACTCCATAGCAGAATCTATAATGCGTATAAAAAGCTCAGGGAACACTGCTTTGAACAACTCATCATGCTCTTGATTTCAACTGCCCTTATTATATAGTGTTCGGTGTCTGGTTTTTATAGCCTTACCAATCTGTAGCAACTAATTCTTTGGAAAGTTTGTCTCTTTTGTCACTCAAATCTTTTGTAGATTGGCAGGTTTAGAGTATCTGTTATATGAGAAAATGATCCTCAGAACCAGTTTCTTTCTTAAGTGTGAAATATGAAGAAAGGGCAGTTTGAAAGTCAATTTGCACTGTCATGTAGAAAGAACTAGAATCAGGTGCCAGTATCAAGAGTCAGCAAATTTTTTTTGTAAGTCATCAGAGAGTAAATATTTAAGCTTTATAGCCCTTAAGGTGTGTCCCAAACACTAAATTCTGCTACTGTACATGAAAACAGCCAAATAACAAATACATAAATAAATAGGTATAGCTGTGTCCCAATAAAGCTTTATTTACCAAACCAGTTAACTGGACAGTTGCTGACCTATAGTCTACAGGTTCAGATTCATCCCTGAAATACTGTGACCTTTGGCAATGCATTCACTCTCAGACCTTTTTATTACCTGTAAGATGTAGATTTCACTGATTACAGATAAATATATGAGCATCAATGAAATGATGCTCACATGTGTACATGAAATTGAAATGCTGAAGTACCAAAGAATGACACGGTGTTTCTGCACCACTTCTTCCTGGTAACTTTATTCACTTAGCCTGGTCTACATAATTATACATCCCCTCCAACCCCCCATTAACCCAGGGCCTCTGCACTGAGCTACATCCCCAGCACTTTCCCCCTCTTTCTCCTCCAGCTTTATTGGGATAATTTAAAATTACATTTCCTAGAACTTTAAGTTGCTTTTTCCATCTGACTTTTAAAAACTGACTACAGGGCTGGGTATTTAGCTCAGTGGTACCCGCCTGCCTTTTAAGTGCAAGGTCCCAAATTCGATTCCCGGTACTGGAAAAAAAAACAAAACAAAACAAAAAGCTGATTATAGCAAATGAAATAGTTGTCTAAATGATACAGTATATAAAAATAACATCTTGATTTCTGTGAAAACGCATTTCTCTGTAATTCCTGAATAGCTCCTGTGGGAAGCCAGCCATGGCCCATTGGCTTTTTGAAAGATAACATTTGTTCCTCTTTAAGGACTGCACGTGTTAAACTTGTTTCTGACCCTGCACGAGAGAAACTCGGATAGCCAAAGATCTGTAGGAGTCAGGTACTTCCTGTTAAAGATGTGACGTTAGCTATAGGAGTCAGGTGTTTCCTGGTGATGTGCCTTTAAAATGCTGATGCTTGTTTGCAATAAACGTCGCCTTGATCAGACTCTTGTCTTGGCGTCCTTCCTTTCTCTCTGCCCCATCTCCACCCCGCTGCTCTTTCAGGTTTGAGACACTGCTGGACAGTGCTCTGCGACAACGGCTCGCGACAAGCTCCAAATTATGCTAACTCTGAGCAATGATGTTTGCTCTCAGTTTTAGATTTAGTCTTTGAAAAACAGTGTTCTAAACTTTTGCCATCTCCAACTGTATGTCCATTGCCACTGCTGTGATGAAGGTATTCCTGTCTAGGCATCTATCTTGAGTTTTCTCGAATAGCCATCAGTGCGCACGTGTTTTTTTTGTTTACTCCCACTCAAATGCATGTTGATGTTATTTAACAGCTACTGAGGTCAACCCAAGCCCATCATTATGCTGAAATTAAAGTTAAGAAGTTCATACACACTTCCAGAATTGGTTTTATCTTCTACATGGGAACATACTGAAAAAACCCAGGATGAGCCTGTGGCCTGACAACTCTTCCCATTTGTCAATCCCTATTCACCAGTGGTGTGGAAAGGGAGTTCTTTAACAAATATCATGCATGATACCTCTACCAAACAATACAAAAACTTTTGTAGTTAAATACAGAAAATCGTTTTTTTCCTACCCCTTTCCTCCTTTTACATGGCAAGTAAAGCCCGCTGGCCTGGGAATAGCCTCTATCTGCCAACCTTTGGCCAGTGAAGAGGATTCGGAGAAAAAAAATACAACTACCAATTAGAAAAAAGGAGGGGCAACAAAGGAAAATAATTAGGCCTCAATCATGCATTCCTGTGAAGATGTCTAGACTCCCCACAGCGATAACAGTTGGCTTCACTTGTCTTACAGCGATTGATGGCTATGTAACCAGTCTCACCACACCTATAGCA